ATTCTGTATGTGTTGGAGGGAGAGATGTATACGGGCTTCGTCACCAACAACTTCGGCAACGACCCGACCATATCTAACAAGCTGTATGCAAAGGTCGTGAAGAAGGGAGAAGCTTTCATTTTTCCCAGAGGTCTGCTACACTTCCAGCTGAACAAGGGGAAGGTGCTTGCATCGAGTCTGAACGTCCTGAACAGTCAGAATCCTGGTATTCAGCTCATGCCTTCAGCTTTGTTCGGAAGTGGCATCGACCGTGAAATGCTGGAAAAGTCATTCTTCATGAATGCGACTCAAGTTGCTGCGTTGGAAAACATTTTCCAGTAGTGAAACGTTGAATTACATAGGTGCCAGGAGAATTGTAAGATTTTCCTGGTCTGGAGACAACCTGCTTGCAGGTGTAGATATTCCTAGGCTCAGTTACGTAGAATTATGTCCGACAGCCCATTCATTGCAGTTGATTGATCAGCTTGCTATAACAAAGATTGAACTCAGGTGCTGAACGTTGAGTTCATTCTTCACCGTTTGAAATTGTACTTTCCTTCTATACCGTAAACACCTTGTACTCCAACTCACATTTACGCTGTCCTGAAATTTACGCATTGTGCTCATTCCGCGAAATATCCAACTTCACATTTTATTCTGATACCATTAGTAGCGATTCATTTTGGCAGATTTTTTACATGTCATTAGCTATGGGCAACAGAAAACGTTCATGAGACTTAAAATACAGAGCATGTGATTGACCGCAGTGACGTGTGGCAAGGTTGATTCGGGGACTTTTACGTCTTGATTACGAGGACAAACTGAATGCCTGAATCTGATTAGCATGCTTGCACTCCGAATGGATCTGCAGTAGTGGATCTGTAACTCAGCTTCGTGTGATGACGTTCTCGTTGAATCACAAGCATCAAGAAGAATGGAGTTTAACCTTTCTAGAGGTGAAGTAAATCTACTCGTATCTTATTACAGTCTTTCTCAATTCTCAAGATTTGCAACGGTAAACGTATACAGATGATGTCCGGAATTCTTGTAATGTACATTGATGGCTTTCAGCCGTAGGTTTTCAACTAATGGTGCAATGCCTGATGTCCAAGCTATTTGACACAGTAGGTAGAAAGCAGTGACCAGAAAAAGTACACTGGTTACATCGGTTTTGTCGGTTTTTTAAGAAAAACATTTGATCCAACGAGTTGAGGCCTCACCCCTGAACATCTTGGGTGGAGACACATACTGGCAAACTTGTGCGTATCCCGATCATTAGATTTATGGAAAAGCGTCAAGATATACTTATTCTTTCACAATCTGCCTCACCAAACAGTTGCATGGCATTGCCAGCTGCCAGTTCATTTGACGTCCAACCGCTGAACCAGGTTGCGAACCGAACCCGTTCCCTACTTTAGTCAAATGATTTTCAGGTCAAACATGGTCAAAACGTCTTATGACAGAAGATAATATACGGACTTACACATTACAAACTTGTGTGTGATGGCGATAAAAGTAGCAAAGATTATGACTACATTTGTTAGCCGATGGTTCTCACCCATAAGTTCATGGATGAGACTGATAATTTTAGGTCTGATAATATTCAACCTCTTCTCGTATCAGAGTGAATCACTAATTTTCTGCTGATACATCTCTTATCCCCAACCAGTCAGAGATTGCGTAGCGAGGCTTCTGACAATAGAATTCGACAAGTCCATCCAGAAGTTTCAGAGGTCCACAGTTCACGTTTCCTCAGGACTTGAGGTCTACGTTAATCCAGACCGGGTACAGGACTCATGCTCCGAAGCCCTGTATGCATCTAGGGTAGAATTTGGGTCAAACGTCAAAAGAATATACTACGCACAAATTAATCCCGCAGAGCTTGGACTCAGCCGGCAACGAAAACAGCGATAGATATAAGACATTCAAGGACAACACTATTCGCTAAGGTCGATTGATATTTGTTATGTTATCTCCAGGTTTTGAAAAGTAACTGCATTTGTACAGTGACTATCTTCGAAATTAATGATATTTACACTTAGTATGCTTAAAATTACTCTGAAGTAACTAAAACTTCATTTCTTACATTAGAAAGATTCAAAGAAGTTTTTGACGCAAAGAAAAACCAACATGTGATATACTACATGCAAACTGTCAGCTCTCATAAACATTAAACATCAAGAGAGATAAACTTATATTTAAGTCATAAAGTAAATGGGTGCATGTGTTGTATCAACATCTTCCTCAAAAGCTAAGAAGGGTTTATTGTATAATATCCAATATATGACTGGGCAACTATGATTACAGTACAACTTTGACAGCATAGATAAAAATAAATGGCAATACATCATCTCAAAGAAAGATGGAGGACATCAAATGCCATTTTTTTAAAAGTAACAAAGTCTTGCTATAGAGAGGGCTGTTAGCACATAGTCAATCTAGTGATATCAAAATCAAAACAAAAAAAGGCACATAAGCCAATTTTTAGCCACAATAGCCACTGAGGCAACAGTAAGATACAAATTTTTGTGTAGCAATTGTAGGATCCAACCACCTCAACCTCAAAGCAATATCCTGCGTATTGTATAGTGTTTAACAGATGTGATACATCAATGTATCTGATCCGAGTGGCTCAGATACGTTATCATAATATTTTGACATCATCAAGAGTTGCAGAGTAGAAAGACCTGAAATGCAAACAAAAAAAAAGAAGAAAAAGTTCCCGACAAATTATAAACCCTGAACCGTTAAAAATTTCAAGCACCTTATCAAGACACGTCATCTACACCTTTTTAAAAAAATCAATTAGATAAATACATGCCTAAACAAAGAAACTTACAACCAGCTTACGCAAGGAGGAATCGTCAAGGGGCAGCGAAGGCATTTAACTTTGAACCAGAAGGAAATGTGGCAAGACTAAATGCTATCATCACCCTGGGTAGTTGTTGAAAAGAATTCCAAAAAATAGTTATTTACGCACTGATATGCAAAAAACCTAGGTATTTGATGCAAATGATGTACTTGGTGAAGCATGACCCCAAGATCATGCAAATTAATTTTTTTAACTCTGCAATAGACAAACTGGTTTGCTTCTCATTGATTAGCTACAGTAATAGAGTCAACATCTCGATAGAAGATACAAACACTTTGTGTATACAAGAAAAAGGCTAAAATGTCACAGCTGAGAAAGTCAACAATCAAGGAAGAGGCTAGATGGCCTTTTTTGAAGTAATTAAATCTTGCTATTTTTAAGAGAAGGAGGTAAATTCTCTTTCTTAGATACTAGAAAACTTATTTGTAGCATAAATTTCAAAAGTGGTATAAATGATCATCTTCACCACGTAGAGAAAACTTTCGAGAAGTGAAGCTTAAATACACAAACATGTAAGTGTGTTGGTTAATGATGGTTGTTGATAAGAGACTTGAAAGTAGACAGAGATAAGATAAGATTACTGTAGGATTAGTCTACTAGGCTATACTCTGGAGGTATTGAGCATATCAAACATACATGGTCTTAAGAAAGATATTTGAGGTAATGTGCATCAACCTCATTCTCATTGACATTAACAATCAAACCAGAAACTGGATCATGACATTTAGACAACAATTAGAATCATTACAATAGATGAATCTTTTAGTGCCATTTAGAATTGAACGGGAAGAAACTTTTAATCCGGATGTGGACGCTTCATCTATAGCTATACGGATGGTGTTAGATCCATAAAATTCATGAAATGTATGATTTTTATCTGTTTATTTAACAAACAATTTATTTTTTTGTTCTAGCAGAGGTTTCTTACCTGATTCCAACTATCCTTATGCATTTTCTAGTGTGAGTGCGTTTGTAACAATTTGATGCAGAACAATTCATATGCCTTGTTAATCATTTGCAGTATAGAGAATAAATAGGCATCCTGTTTTTATGAGTGTGATCTATGTTACAGTAGGGGAGGATACATACATTACAAGGATGGATGGAGAAGCATTGATTTAGGTTGCAATTGACTTGGATTGGATTGAGACTGTACTTCTGTTCTATTTGAAGCTTTATGTTACTTTTGAGTATGAGAGACTAAATATCAATCCACCTCATGATGGTGAAGTGGAGTGATGATATCTAAAGTACTCAAATTGAGTACTTTAGATATCACCACTTTAGGTATGAGTAAGAAATGAGAGAGAGATGTAACTTTTTACTTTAGGTATACAGTATTATGGAGCAATGGATTTTCACTTGGATACATCCATGAAATGATATTCAGCTGATTTTAGAAATTACCGTTATCTCTCTCTTTTTATGTAGAAAATTATAGTGTTTATCAATTTCTGAGTGAATATAAACCTTCAAAAGATAAACTATGTTAGACGTTAGATGATGGCTGTTATATAAATATTTGTGTACACGAAATAACCTAGATAGTTTGTACATGCATCCGGTAAAGGATCCACTTGGAAAGTCTCACGTTTGCTCCAAATCCAGTTTGTCCACATTTGCTTGGCCATGAGTGGCCATAGTTATCCACTCCAACCTTGACTTCCGGCAACTTCATGAAACAAAGATATTTTTTGTTGCATTCGTTGCCATTGCATGTAATTATTCAATGTTCAAGGAAGCTATTCTCAGACTGCCAAGCTCGAATCCTCCACTCCTCAAATGTTCTGATTTAAGAGAGTTGACTTAAGTTCATGTGATGCGTAAAATTCATATTGGTTTGCGTGCCATTCAATATTTTAGACTCGTTCCTTAAGAGTGAGCTCAATTGCGCCTCGCACGGGCCTCACACTGCATGCCATTTTTCTGAGAGGAGAGGCAACACACTTTACGTGACCGTGTTGAATCTCACGTCACCATGGAAATGAATCCTCTGAAAAAGGTTAGGCTACTCTAACATGAGGGTTGGGTCATCAAATCTGGGCCGACAAGATCTGAAACGTGTTTGGCTTGTCGGACCAGTAGTGTGTTTGTGTGTCCTCCTTCCACCAGATAGATACACAAAACGCCAGATTCTGAACAGAGTCCACTCGCTGAAATACGAGAGCCTAATACATCATCTGACATGGGTCCGTATCAATTTCAGGCCCATGTGGACGAAGCTCGCTCACGCACTGCTCGTAAAACTCTGCGAGCTCGAGACTTTAGCTAAAAATATGGGATTTCAAGTTCGACAGTTTGTAACAAAATGGAAGAGCATAGTGGAATGACATGGATTCGTCGATTTCAGACCTCAGAGAGTCTGTCCGTTCTATCTTCTCACGTTTGTGTCACTTCTTTGAACGGCAGGTCCAAACATGTGATTAGTAGATGCCCGGCTCAGCATCACGGCCCTTTCGATATCCGTGCGAAATCGAAGTTTCAACAGGGCATCGCACGCAGATCGGTTCTTGATGTCATAGTTCCGATAGTGATACTGTCTGGCAGTGTTTGTCGAAGCTGAAAGAGTCATCCAGAAGTAATCGTAAACGAGGGTCACAGAATGACAGCGGATTTCGAAATTCCAGTCATAGATCTTACTGGCTCTGAAGGACCTGAAAGGGAAAAGCTTTGTAAGGAGCTCGCAAAGGCTTGTGAGGAATGGGGATTCTTCCAGGTCATCAATCATGGAATTGATGAATCCCTACTGAAGAGGGCTCAGAAAGTTTACACCGATTTTTTCTACCTTCCAGCTGAAGAAAAGATGAAGATTCTCATTCCTGACGATTGTATTGAAGGATGGAAGCATCCGACATTGACAGCTTCTTCAGAGCTTTTGAAGAACATTTCAGGCTCGAAAACTGCTGAGTACGTCAACAGCGTTTGGCTGCCTGACTTACCACAACATAGGGAGAAATGGCCCACAAGCCCACCAGCACTTCAGTAAGACAACAGAAATATTTTCCTTCATTGTTTTCTTTTACATCTGTTTTCTCCATAGCGTCTAATTAGGTCTAGATTGGAATACGCAAAGCTTTGCCAGATTACAGTCATCTCTTTGTTATATATACATCCTGCCATGGCTATATGCGTAGCGTTCTGAACTGTGATGTCTCACTGCGATGGACAGGCCGACAATTGTCGAATTTGTACACGAGGCCAAGGGTCTTCACGAGAAAATTTTGACCATGATTGCTGAGGGTCTGGGTCTTGAATCAGATGCATTTGTTAAGCGTTTCCTGGCACCACGAGTAAGTGTCAGGTCGAACTTTTATCCACTAAGATCCGAAGAGAAATCTGAGGGTTTTGTGCATCCACATTCCGACGTATCTGGGACAACACTGCTCTTATCAGACATGGTTGCTGGCTTGGAAGTCAAGAAAGATGACAGCTGGGTACAAGTCGAGCCCCGACCGAACGGCTTTGTTGTAAATGTCGGTGATTTAGTCGAGGTATGTAAGATTTTAAGCTCACCACTTACCTCTGTGTATACTCTGTATCCAATTTAAGGTCTGTCGTAACTTTTTTCCGTTTGCAGAAAATTAGGGTTTTTTTTATGGGATCATTTAAATGCATTTGATTTCTGCTAGTCATTACTTGTAGCTTTCTAGGGGTATAGTTTGTCACATACACTGGACTTCTACTGCTTCAAACTTCCTTCCTTGCCATACAGTGTTAAGACTGTTGTCAATGCAACTAACATGCTTTGATCTTTTCCCAGATTTTGAGCAACGGCAAATTGCGAAGTGTTCTGCACAGAGGACTTCCTAATTTGACCATGGAACGTCTGTCTATCGCCTGCTTTTACATGGCAAACAATGATGCGGTTATAGCTCCTGTTGAGGAGCTCTTAGATGACGAACATCCTCCAAAGTACAGGTCCATTCGTTTTGAAGATTATTTCAAAGCATTTCTAGCTAAAGGTAATCTTTTAAAGAGGGGACTAGCACAGGTTAAGATAGATGAATAAGGCTGTAGATTAGTACTTTCATTTTTATCTCCCAACTTCATTTTAGAGTGAAGATGTAGATAATAATCTTCACACTTGAATCCATTTTATGGTGTGGGTGGAAATGTCCCATCAAGCAAACTGATCTTTACTCTTCTTGAGCTAGAGTCAAACAGATGGCACTAAACTGTGTCATCAAAATAGATTAAGAATCCAAAATCCAATTTTTTCTACAATATTTTTTTGAGTTACGTACTCAATGAATAATTACCGGGCTTCTACTAGCTTTGTTTATGTCTGTCTAAAATTACTCATTCCAATTTCGCAATTCAGCACAAATCTGTAATCTACAACTTTTTTTCCTGGACGGTATACTAGTTCAATGTCATGCAGTGAGGCTGCAGCTACCTACTGTGGATAGAGATATTTCCAAAGTGCTAAGCTGAACAATTTATTTAGGCACATATTGAAAACTTTGATAGTCTTATCTGCGAGTTGCATTCATGTTGTTTAAGGAATAGCTGCACATATAGTTGCTTTGCTTCATTTGAAGATAAGTGCGTCTCTTTCTTGAGGCCCAATCTTCAAAAACCTTGGAAAATCATCACTTTCTGTGGTCAAGGAAATTGCTGCATTTGAGATTTCGCATGTGGACTCCAAACTGCCGTGGAATTTTGTTCAGGAAGTGAATTACCGCTTTTGCTTCTGCACAACTCTCTTCCAACCTCAGTAAATACAGCTTCCACTTGTTCTAGGCACCTGAACATACATATGTTAGTCTGCACTACCTAGGGGAATAGGTGCCTACCTGGACGCTGATACTTGATCAGGAAAGTCTGTAAATTAGTCCAAACTGGAATATCCATGACCTGTGCGCTTTTGATCAACGCAGGGGTCTTTTAGAAGGATCCTCTTTTCCTCTGTAGGGAGGATGACTTGTCACCGTTTTTAGTTTGTGTCAACAGTTTGGGTCATCACAATGGAGGGTAAACGGGGTTGCAATCCATTCACCAAGTAGGGATCTGTACTCTGCCATGGAAATTAGAAGGAGAGGTTGAATCGTTCACAGTATCTTACTAATTAGACTAGATAGGTCTCTGCCATAGGCTTCCCTAGTTATGCCTTTATGTCTCGTCAAGAATCAGCTCCATAATAATTCGCGCGCATACTTCCACTGAACTGGACGATCTGACAGCGAGGAATTGATGGTCTTATACACATGCCCGCCAAGATGAAGCGAAGAGAACGGAACAATCATGCCACTATGATAAATAATTCAGTATGAATAAATGATTCAAGCGAGGAGAGATTCTACTTATGGAACTTATGGATCCACAGCAACGTGATAGCAGTCTAAATTCGCGACTGTTGACATCCGGCAAGGAGTTCACCTTTCTTTTCTAGTGGAACCTTGTCTCTTGGTTCTGCCAATTTTATTCTGTTTCTCTGTACCATTTTCATTAGAAAGTATTACCTTCACGTCGAGGATATTCCAAAATCAGCTTACAGTAAATACACACATCAAGTTGAGACTCTGAACAGCAAGTAGAAACTACGATATATGATACAAAGGTATCGATTTGTACCTGCATGATCTCAACAATACTCTCGGAGGGTGTCATGCGAGCTTCACCCCAGGTTCTCTTCCCCTGTTTCTGGGGTCGACAGGGTATACAACCAAATCGCGACCCCGCAAACGCCACTCACCTTTATAATCCGATCGTGGAACCCTCCACTTGGGAGGGGTAAGACTGAACGTGTAGAGCTCGATACTCAAAACCCAGATCCCGGCCTCCGGATGTGCTGGCTCGGTGCCAAAACGGAACAGGCAGTCCCGATCTCTGCACCGATATGCGCCGCTCCAGAAGAAAACCTTGTACTTTATCTCTGAGTCCTTGGGACGGTCGACCATCACATACCCTCCCGGAACCCCGCTCGACGTCAGCATATGCTCGGAATCCCTTGCGGGGCGACGACCGGAGACCGAATTCACCTCTCGACGGGAAATGATATCTGTAGTACGAGGCCGAAAGGCCTCGGGACTGTCCCCGAGCTCGAGGTGCTGAGGGTCAGGAAACAGGTCGTTGAATGGAGTCAGAGCTGGAGGATACTTCCCATTGATCCGCAGACCTTCGCTCACCACTCGAACCCATCCCGTCGGCGAGCCCTGGTTCTGGGCGAACATTTCCACGGGGCCATCACCCCATCGCCCGAATTTCACGACCCCGGTGCCCCGGTCTCGTCCCTCGGCCCAAGCCTCGGGGCGGTCGTTGCGGAAGGAGCCCAGTCTGAGAATCATCGATCCGCGAACGCGATCAGGGGGCGTCCCTAGGTGTGGTCCGTCGCGGTGGAGCGCGACGTGCCCGCCTAACCACGAGGGCCCGGAGGACTCGATCGCTTGCAAGGGCTCGTCCAGATTGAAGACGATGTCTCCCGGGCGCACGGGGCTCCGTCGGATCTGGTGCGACGGGTGGAGGCCGTTCAGCTTTTCGACATAATCTCTGAAAATGTGATGGTCCCTGCCCAGGAAGCGCCACCGGTAGACCACCGGGTGGTCCCCTCCCAAGCACAGATATCCGTCAGCGTGCATGGGTGCGAACTGATCCCCGCCGGCGTCGAGCCGCGGCGGCGAGACTCTGATCCGGACCGCGACATCTCCCGCCCCGTAGAGAGCGGGAGGACGACGCTCGTCGAAATCGTGCGGGATGCTTCGCAACTCGAAACTCTTGCTCCAGGGCCGGTCAGTGCTGGGAGCGCTTTGCCGGTGGATAATGTAATCGCCGTCCGAGGGGTGGAACTCTCGATTGACCGGAACCGGGCACTGGTCCTGGAAGGTCGTGCCGGGCTCCGTGCCACCGGCAGGAGCATCGATGTGTTTCTGGGCCACCATGTACCAAGCGGGGGTCTCGTCGCCGGTGCCGGTGCTAGGCCAGTGGAGGAACAATTCAGCAGTCCCGTCGCACACCCACCTCCAGATGATCGGGATGAAGCTGCCGGTGCGCAGGATCTGGTCCCCTCGTCGGAACTGGAATCCGGCGACGTGCTCTGCGCCGAATTGGTACGTTTGGTAGAAGTCGTCTCGGAACACTCCGATTAGGCCCGGCGCTGGGATGACTTTCGCGGTACCTGTCTGAGGAACGTCGCGAATTACGACGTCGCCGAGCTGCGGTCGGAAGCTTACGAGCTCTCGGGGCCCGCACGGGAGCGGTGATGGGCTTTTCCTATTGGCCGTTGGTGGCACCGCCGAGCTTGATTTCCGGCGAACGGATTTTCTATTGGCTCTTGGCTTCGCAAGCTCGAACCCCGGCCTCTCTTGTCCCCCGGAGCGGAGCTCCATCACATTGTGTCACATGCATTAGAAGTTCGTGATACGTAAGATTACAAATCATGATCTACGTAAACTACATTTCTCCCGCTGCGGCTTAAGCCCAGACTCAAACGCAGACGCAGGCAGCGATCTGCCGATGTATAATTGAATCACACATGCTCAAAGCTGAACTGTTTCTTTGAGAGTTTTATACATGCAATAGCGATTCTCATAAAAAATAGATCGAAAATGAAAATTTTGCGTTGATTCACGAGTACTTCAATTTATTTCGACCATAGGTATCGGGTATCAAAAGTGTCCCGATCCGATTTCAAGCAGCCGACATTTGGAGACTGGACTGAACGGCCAACGTGAGGAAAATAACCCAAACATGACCATGGAACGGACGATTTATGAGCGACTAATCATTCAAGTGATTGGAATTCAGGGGAGCGTACCTCAGGAATTCGGATCGAGCATAACGAGAAGGTGCTTTAGCAGAGTTACGAGATTTCAATTGACGTTGATCTGAACCAGGCGTTGAAGCTCTTCCGTCGAAGTAGTCCAGCTCCCGATTCCGTTACCATCATGAGCGGGGTTGCAGGCGACACTCTGTTTTGTCTCCAAATAGTTATGCGCTTCAATTTATCGAAATTGCAAGCCGAAGCAGATGCGCAGACGGGGATTGTAAACTCATCATGCCCTGAGAGAAATTGTCATCGACCTGACCAACCGACGTGGCTTTTGGTGAGTGTCTGAGTTCAAAACAACGCCATTTCTCTACTGCTGTCACCACGGAATGCATTGCAACGTAAGGTTTGCTTCTACATCGAAGATGCTCGATATTCAGGCCGAAAACTGATTTAGACAGTCTGGAGAAGCAGAATATATCATGAATTCTTACCGCTTTCGTGCGCGCCGATTGTTCCTGACGACGGCAATTGGCAAACCTTCAGAACGTGGATGGCTAAATGTCCAGAAAGGACATTTTCGGACTCCAATGGTCCGGAACAGTTTATGGACTTCTAACGTCTTTGGTTAGTATTGGGGCTCGTAGAGTGATAGGTTTCAGCTCGCTGCAGAAAAATGCGCGAAAAAACTGGAAGTTGTAGCTTAATAAGTATATATCTTTCAGTCTCATATCTTAGTCTCCGAAGATCCTTCATGCACCCCATTCAGAAGATAACTTGCCTCATTGTAATAATCAAGAACCAGGATTCGAATTCTATCTAGCCGGCAATAGCGGCCTCAAGGAAAAGTTTCGGTGAATTTAATCAATTTTGCACGAGTCAATTCATATTGATACAGATATTTCATAATATTACGAAGTTGTTTTGTCTGTCAAATACACATTTCTGGCTCATCTGAACTCCATGTGTACAAAGAGGGTTATCCTCCACATAAGACAGCTGGGAGAAAGCTTAGAAAAGGTGTCCCCATGATGTCAGGAGAACTCAGATTACAATGCTCTGAACAAACGCCAACAACACTTCCAATCACCTAGGTTTTCAAAAGTAAACGCAGTCAGGTGTCGAAAGACGTGGACTGGTCCGACGAAAATCTGAAAAAAGCAAAACATATTGAATTTGAAGAACCTTCATAGAAGCAATCCACTTTATGGATGACTTTCGGCCTTCTCGAATTTAAGTCAAGTCAAGTGAAGTCACCATGTCAAGATTTTTTGATTGCACGCGATTGGAAATATCGATCCTCCAAACGGTCGGAGCTCAGTGGGAGACCTGAACTAGTGACTCTTGGGCAGCCTTACAACGCAGAGAACGACAAGTTTCTTTCCATCCTTAAAGCTAAACTTTGCAGAGAGTCGGACGTCTGCAAGACATGTGCAAAACCTCGCGTGGAGGAGCCGAGTCTGCCGACATACGACAGACCAAATGCTTCCGATATGGAACAGCGAGGAGACTTTCAGACATGGGCAGGATTAGTCGTGTGTGTACCTGGCGAGACAACGGCCCTTTGACCGAGGAAATGCAAACGAGGGAAATTGGCCTCTCACGAAATAGGTGTATCGCACAAGTATCAGATTGTTGTGCGGGGAAGGAATCTGTAAGTACGTACGTGTAAAGGGTGTCCAAACTTGACGCCTGCTCTTGAAGTCTACGCGATCGTGTCCATGCCCGGTTTTCCAACCTTTGTTTTCCTTGCCGGTCAAGGGCGGGGGATCGCGATTCCTGTTTGATTGGTGCTTCCGAGTCCGATCACTCTTTGAGCGGTCTCGAGTCTCCACACTTTTGTATGGGGCGATGTTTTCATGTTCACACAACTATTCCATCCATTGTCGGGTCGATCCACAGGATATTCCTTAATGAACTTGCATGTGGTAATCATGATCATCACCGGAAGTTGCAGCTTCGAGATACCCACGTCATCTACTTTATCTTGTTCGTTTGACCGAAATGGAGCTGAAGCTGGCAACGACGGAGACTTCCGTTCGCTTAAAGAAGTCCTGGCCTAACTGTAACAGGACAGGACACTCCTTTTTTCGGGATGCCATTGATTGTTCAAAATCTACATATCTCCAATGTCTTTTTTGACTCGACAACATGCAGAACTTCGGGAAAGTAGCATTTGGCATGTGAATGAGATTTTGCCTACATAAGTTAAGTAGACTAATGATTTAGAATTTGAATTGTATTTTGTCCTTGTCATTTTGGAACTCTCGTCATTCATTACCTCATCTTGAGTCTCTGCCATTCAAATTCGAAAGCAGTCTACAACACTTGCTTTGCATGCGCACGGGTTAAATAAATTGTAACCTCAGTAACAGTGGAATTTGTATATCATCATCCTGGCCTTCCGACCATAAGAAGAAAGAAAAGTTCGAAAGTTGATCTCTACGTGAAGTAAAAAATACAAATCAAATGAAGCTAACCAGCTACAATTGAATTCCTCTTATTGCCGCTTCGAGAACTGTCATCGCTTGCACACCATTTTGTGCTGTTAAAGCATACATTAAATGATTCTGACATGTCTTAGGCGCCGACATGTTGATATACTGCCATAGTACAAAAGTTTGAAACCGAAATCACAGCAATAAATTGGGAAGATCAAAGACGGAAAAAGAGCTTTGCATATCTAGGTCGATGATGATCATTCAATGAGGTATACTACATATTCTCTAGTTTTTTCTGTGTTAACCCTAAATCCAGATTGGGGAGAAATATACTTTTCAAAGATACAAGCCAAGTAGCCGAAGTGGTCAAATCTACTTTCAGCCCACAACTGCAGTACCAATTGACCTAAAGCTAGATAGCCGTTTCCTTTCCAAGATGTGAACCCTGCTCGATAGAATGTATTCCTAACAATTTTGTCGTGAACGAGGACTTCTGGAAAGTCCTCGTTTACGATATCTCTTTCAGCTCAGCAGTTTTCAACAATTACGCTCAGGGACTTTCGATAAGTCCTTCAGCAAATTCAGTTCAAAGTTTAGCTGCTTACCTATCTGATGCCATGAGGTTATCAACGCGCTTATCAACTCTTGTGCAGTTACAGAGTTTGAGTACCATATTTATTGATACAAAGTACACCTTATAACGGATGCTCAAACAACTCAGGGAAAGCGTGGGTTGGTGCAATGCATCAACTCGCCGTCCTAGCAAATACTTGAACACAGAAAATAGAGGTGTCATAACTTACACGGTCAGGCTATCTTGAGTAGCTCTGCCTTGCATCACGGAAAATCGATTTGTATACAAGGTGTTACCGTTTCCAGTTGGGCTTGTAGTTCATTTATCTTGAGCTTTAGTCTTATAAAATTACAATAGCCAGGTGTTCATTTCCAGATATGCCTTATGAATATAAGACGCGTGACAAACTCGAAGGTCGAAGTCTCTCTGAGCGAAGTCTTTAAAGTCAAATTCCTCATCCAATGGACAGTATGGAAGGCTAACATAGGCTGTTATCTATGAAAATTTCATCCTGTAATCTTATGAATAAGTCCAGCACTGAGCCACGCATGACTCTAGAGAATACGGCATCCTTCTTCTTCCCGTACAAAAAGGTCCTCCATGGTTACATACATATTGACTTCGAGTTTTATTTGACTTTCTTTGACTCAAATCCTGTCTTTCCTGATCAACAGTTTTCCACGCTTGCGAAGATTGTGGAGTTCCGTCACTTGCCCTATCGTTCACGCGAGTCTTCCCCTGAAATCCAGATGCTATAAATGTCTGCGAACTCTTCCGGATTAGAATAGTGTACTAGCTTGGCTACCACAAAAACTCTCCTACCTGAAGTTTGCTTCTGCTTGCATTTCAGCTCTTGTGGCTTTCAGGATTCTGATCTTCTACGCCACAGAACATGGCAGGTCTTAACCCTAAGGCTCTCCATGTCGGGTTTCTACTCCTCGTTCTGCTGTCAGCAGATTTCGCCACCGGTGAGCAAGTTCATAAGATTGTTGTTAGCATCTTCATTCTCTTGTAACACATGCTTGCTACTGTTTATAATTCGACCAGCAAAACAGCAATACACATATAATGTCATGATCGAACTGTTACTGATATGATTTCAATAGACGAGAGAGCCGAGCCACTACTTTAGCCCTCCTAGCTATAGTAGATGCTGCGAGATATACAAGGTGCGCATGATTTTGTGTAGCTAAATTGGAACCTCTTTCACTTGCCTGCAGTATCTGATGTGAAACGAGTGGCTCTCTGTACGCAGGCTGTGTGATAACTATCAGAAACCGCTGCTCATATTCAGTCACAGCTTGTGCTCAGTCTGGAAGTGGACCCGTCAGTCGATACAATGTAGGAGCCGGAGGTAGCCAGGCAATGAACTTTGGCTCCAGTTGTAGTTGGCCGGATGGAATTATTTTCCCCTCAGTCGGAGGACAATGCACCGACAGAAATCTGGCGAACATCGCCGAATTCACTCTGGGAGGATTTGCGAACTCTGACTACTATGACCTCAGCAACATCGTATGCGCTCGATCCCCCTTATACCTACAAGAATTAGTGCTCTAAGTTCTAATTGATGAAGCTAACTCCAACGTCACACCTCAAGCCCTATTTTCCAGTGAATGAGTATCTCAACTGGCCAGGAGGAGCTCAAAGTGCGCTCTGATGATAATTTATTCTCTCACTGCAGAACGCGTACACGATCGGTTTGGAGATTCGACCGACTCAAATCGCAGGAGGAGCGACCCCCGGTGGCATGCGATGTGGATCTCCTAAATGTGTCATCAACGACATCAGGTACGAAGGACTGCTTACTTTTGACTCTTTAAAGTCTCGACGAGGATCATACATCTGAGAATTTAACATCCGACATCATACAAGCTTTGGTGTATCAAGGGCTAATTGCGAAAGCTGGGGTCCTTCCATGTGCAGAGGGTTCTGTCAGCCGAACAACTACATCGTCCAACACCCCACCGGTGCCTTGACATGCGTCAACCGAGATGGAACAGCAGGAGTCCAAGGCTCAGCTGGCACGCGTCAGTTCAAAAATGCGTGCCCCTCGTCCTACAGCTACCCCGACGACGGCGCGACGTCTCTGTACAACTGTCCCACAGGAACCAACTACGACGTCGTGTTCTGCCCTTAAATGGCTTCCAGAAATCACATCATTCGATTTGATTCTCAACGTGTTAAACTTTGGCCTAGAAATTGGAAGGTGATTCCGCACTCTGGTTGGAGGTTAAGATGAAGCTGGCAGGGGTGCTAGTTATAAGAATTGTCCTGCTCGGATTTCTCTTGCTCAATAAGTGGCATTGTTTTTTTATATAAAAATGCTCCCAGCATTTTTCTCCTTGCATTTCGCACACGCGCATCTTATGGCAAAGCACACTCTCCTATCAATATAACGATGTAATCAATTGTACTCTCTGATGCAAACTCAAACTGATCAGATTGTAGATTCAAACAAAATACAGCAGAAATGTGATCAGTTATTGCACCATTAAAATTTAATTGGTTGTTTTCTTGGCTTATTCATGGGTTAGTTACAAACCATGAATAAACCACAATTTTCCTTACTTCTTGGTCAAATTATTTTATTCAATCATGACTATACTGGATTCCTCAAAATGATGTAGGTTTGATCTTTTCATATCAATAAGTAATAGCTCTGGAAACAAAGGTTTAGCTGCAAATCAAGTTCCTAAACTCCAATGTTCAAGCGAGACTATAATTCTGATCATCCGTATATAATCTATTTTTTGTGAAGTGAAATGCATTACCATGTCTTCAGAATACATTGTTGAAACAAATGTATCTAGATTTAAGTCGTAAAATCAACCCCTTCAACTTTGAGACTTCCTACAATCTCTTGAATACACTTGTGACTCATTTTGATGCTGACTTATTCAAATAAAAGTATACTTCATTACTTCAACATTTAATTGTGCAACAATGGCACTTCATTTACTAAAACCATACTTTGAACAGTCCTCTCAATCTTGATTATCTTGAATAATTTGTTGAACGTTTTGGCTTACAAACCCTGTGGAATTAGGTATAAAATAATTTTACAGTCTTCAGACAACGCTTTATATTTCCATGCTTATTGACATCAGTATCCAAAAATTGCATGATATGTAGATTACTTTCTTTCTTGATGACGTCAACAATCAGATTTACAAGGCTATGCAAATTGAACAGATAATGCTACTGCGTAGATTATTAAAAAGCTAACATTTTAATGTAATCTATATGTAAAAGTTGTGATCTGAAGCCAACAAAATAAAATCTGGACATCAATAAACATTCAACATGCCAACATTAAAATACAGATGTAAGCTCGACATTCGAGTAATTTTCTTTACCGTCTTTATGATTGAAGGCTATCCATCAGCAAATTCAAAAGCTAATTTTATACAGAAATGATTCTTTAAGAATCTGTTTTCCTCTTAACGTGCACTACAAGCATCCATTTTTCATATCATTTTTTCCTTTCCAGGAACATATGATCATTATTGCTTGAGCTCTTTCCTAGTTCACTGAAAGGTCTTTTAAAAATAGCTTGTTTTCTTGCGATGAGTCTTTCAATATGCTATCTTTTTCTCAATCGAAAAAGTTCAATCATTTCATGAAATATATATCTTAGAAACTAATACTTGATGTCCTTGAAAAAAATACTTTATTTTTTATTCAAAACTAGATGTAAAACATTTAAACTATAAAAATGAAAAGTCACGATATCAGGCGTTATCTCCATATCTTTCGAAACCTATTTATTATAAATATGAACATTTTCTAAAATTTTTCCGTCAACATGAGATTCATCCTCTCAAATACCGAAATATGTATTTGCTTGTAGATCAATCTATTTAAACATATTGTTGTCATCTAAACATGCATATATGATATTCAATAGGTGCAAGGTGGTTCATTATTAATTAAATTTATGCTTCAGCCAAATTTGATTCTTGTAGCTGTTTTGATTTTTCAGGTATAAGTTTAGTTTCTGACAAAGTTATTGATAAGACTGGGGAAAAAATCAATATATGCAATTTCAAATTTTGAGAAGGATGATAAAGGAGGTATGAGATAGGGAATTGCAAATAACAGCAGAAGATAAGCGAACTGAAAAATGACACACCAACAGCCTTTTCTCCCAGTCAAAAGTAATCTTGAGCGGGCAAATCCTTCATAATTCGGAGGGTTTTCTCTCTGTGAACACGGAAAAATTGGCTATTCGCTTGTGGTAGCAAAGTTCGGTACAATCTATACTTCACTTCCTACAGGATGAAGCCAGTGGTCAGTATACAGCTGGATGGTCTATACCTGGATAACAGGCCGGGGAAGAAACAGAGAAGGAAATTTTTAATATAGATGCATTGAAGTCCCAACAAACCCTGAACTCACGATCCAAAATATCTGTGACTTGTACTGAACCTGGGACACGTGCCACTGTGATGAAGATGAAGTTTGTTGCACTTTCGAGCAGTAGATAGACGAGCTTTTGAGCATAAAACATAAGTTTTTCGAGCATTTCGAGCGCATGTAAGTGTCAAGTTTAGAGATGCAGTCCACGGTTTCCAAATTGTCGCACATGGCGGGATCACTCTGTCACTTAGCAATATTCACGTTGGGCATGCTAGAGGAAACGGCCCTGAAATGACATTAGTGGACTTGATTTTGAGTTGTTTGAATTTCTCGTGACCAATGACGTGAATGATTCTCTGAAATATTGACATACTCCGGAGAGTGTTACACAAGTTATATTTAGGTCCACAGATTAACTCTCTTTCCCTCTAACAATTTTTGTTCAAAACATACAACTCCTGGGATCATTGTCCTTAGCATCTAAACCTCCTGTCCAGCGAAAGGGTTTCTGTCAGGAACATCATCACAGTAGCACATGTCTCAGGTTCAGTACAATTCACATAGATTTGGGATCGTGCGTTCAGGGTTTGTTGGGAGCATCCGCAGCTCTAAGCTTTCGGTTTGGGAGTTATTTTTTGCTGCCTGCAGTCAATGGTATTCCCGTTTGTTTCTTTTTAGCTGACAGAGAAGAGTTTTATCGTAAAGGTCAGGGCTAAAAATCAGCACAACTAACACACCTCTTAGTATTTCATGTACGATCCGGTATTACCTTTGCGACAGTTACTCTGGCCTTGCTTCGATTGCGCACCTGCAATCGCTTATCCTTTGGTCTCCTAGAAATGAATGAATGGAATAAAATCTAAGGAGCATGAGTCGCCAGAAACCAGGAACTGGCTCAAATAAGTTGTCGATTGCGCAGTCCATGTTATCCCCACGTTTGTCCCCATGCAAACTTGAATTACAATCCAAGCCTTGTGCGAGCAGCTTCCAATACACTGAAGTAAGTTTGATGGGCTGTGGCTCCATCTCTCCATCGTTGCACCTCCTGCAGACTTTACTTGGATAGACAAATTCGTAAAGGAGAAGTAACTCGTCAGCCTCATATCTGACAGCAGCGAAAAGCAGCATATGCTCGTCTGGGCTGATCTGGATGAACCTAGCTGCCCACGATCGTTTGCATCATGAGTTCGCATTGTGCCAGAAGAGTCTGAGGACAACAACCTTAAGAGTCTAGCCAAGAAAATGAGCTTTATCTTTTTGCGTTCCTTGCGGTAGTGCATAAACAGGAGAGTGTTTGTGAACAAAGTCGTTTACATAATCACCAGTTAGCACCTGATTTGGAAGCATGCTGCTCATCAGCTGGTTTGTGTGACATTCGGTCTCTTGAGTGGCGGTTAGCCACGGGGGACAATCATCATCTCCCAACACATCATTATAATCAGCCATAAGGGGATCAAAATCCTTTGCTGGAGCTTTCGGAAAGTTTCCCCTTAAACTCTTTTTTGGGCCTCCAGCCACGATAACAAGAATGTGATTGTTGGATCTTTGAAGGATCGAAATTCAGTACTTGCTGGTGCTTGCTTGGAATTTGCTTTGTGTTTAGAGCTGATTCCAACATGATTTATATCCTTTGATCATGAGCTTGAAGGCGTGTAGACTGCATGTTTGAAATCGCGCAGCCTGACACATGTAGCGGCAAAGAAAGTTGTCTCCTTTACAGACATCAAATACCTTATTGACTTGATTGACATTTGATTCAAGCCAGCCACAGGTACTGTTCTTCAACACGGTTAAAATTCCGTCGCAGTGTTTAAGCAGAATATGGTCAACTTTGATGGCCCATGTTAGAGCTGCACTCTGTGTCCCGAAAATTTGGTAAATGTTGCGACTGGCACTGTAGAACCCTGGGTATACAGCTGGATCAGAATATATAATTTTGACCAATTGTGCCGTGATATGATCTAGACTAGATGCAATTGATCTCCTCAAAATACTGCATCTAAGGGTTCACATGCATTACCGTTTACTTTGAAGCAGTTCTCAGCATCAAGCATGATCAACTACTTGGAAAGTGTCTTTACAGCACAAATTCGCCGACAGTAATGGAATGAGAATGTGAAGAGAGATTCGGTAGGAACCTTAAGAGACTTCCAGTCTATTTGGCTTCACGTCCTACTTACCTACCGTTCTATGCCTTGATTGTTCGTAACAGATGGCTCACTTAGCAAGGGATAATCCAAAGACAAGATCAACTCCGCCTTCTTCCTCTCTACCTCCTCCAAGGCTTGCCCTTTTGCTTCTTTGATCGTTCAGCTGCAGAAAAACATACTGCTGTAATCCAAACTGCAGCTTCAGTATATATACAGCCAAAGTTTAAAGTGCAAAACGAGAAGGCTGTCAATTCTAATCTAAACGCAGATATCCATCTAAAGTAATAGCACAAGAGCGAAAGCCTCCTCTCCAGAGATGGTAGTCACCGTAAGCCATATCGTCATACACACAAGTGGACAACCTTGTTCTTAATCCGAGGAATCATTAAACTTTCAATATCCACTCTTGATCTGTCTTTTCCCCTAATTTATTTCGAAGTTAACTTCTCTACACATCCAATCTCGTGATCCCAAGAATACAGCAGGGCACCCTTGTCTTGTCTGTACCAAATTTCTAGATCGTGAATATCCAACAAAAATTCGATGACATTGGCAAAATATACTGAGTTGTCATCTCAGGTCCCCTCGATTCCAAGGCTCAGTTTTGATGTAACTGGAGATACTTCTTCGCTCGATGGTGATATATTACAGGTCCTGTCTACTCAATGCTCATGTTACGGTAGAAGTATTGCCATCTGGTCGATCTTTCAGGTCGTGTTTCTAAAACTACACTAAGACATGCGGAGGGACGAAAGATTTTCTCCAACGCAGCAGGGTAAACATCTAGAACAAGTGAGAATTGAGAAAAGTGCAATTCTTGAGGTAGTGCTCCACCAGTGATCGAGAATGGCCCGACGACGTCCTGTTATTATTTGGATAGAAAAGTTGGGGGGTTCA